TTTTCTGTTTTACCCTTAATTAATACCTTATTTTGTTTGATAAGAGTAATTAATAAGTTACAAAAGTGGGGAAAAAAATTGAAAATTTATCATAAATTTGCATTGAAAACTGAAAAAGACAATTATTTTGAAACAAAAAACAAGTCTAGAACGATAATTAAAAAGAAACAGATAAAATATATATTTTCATTAAAGTTTCTTAATTAATGCATAGTGCATATATGTGTATATATCGAATTATATAAATCTGCACGTTTAATATTTTAGATACATTTTATTTCTAACAAAATAAACTATATTGATTAATCAAAACAATGAGTCGTCTCTCGTTTTTTTTTTTTTCATAACATTGTTTGTTGGTTTCAGTAATGTGAAGCTTTGGGCTGCAAATCGCATACAGTTCAAAACTTTCTTGGTTCGCAAAACAAGATCTTTATTTCTTGTGGAGGCAACATACCATTTAATTTTTTTTTTGAACCCTCGATAAATCTATAATTTTTATTTTCATGGTTATACTTTTAAAAAAAATGTAATAGATTATGTCATAACACAAAATCTTGCAAAAGACAAGATGGCATTGATTAGCGTCCATTCAGGTGGGAGTGCTTTATTTGAACATAGTAAAAAAACTATTTGGATTTTAGAGAAGATAAAATTTATTTTACACATGGTAAAACAGTACCCAAGTTAGACTATAAATAGTCTACTCCACCAAAGAAAAAGTTATAAATGAATCTAATTTGTTTTAATAATGGCCATTCAAATCTTTTGTTTCTCATATATAGTGAAATTTTTTTCAGCTTTATGTTTTATCTCAATTAAATTTATAATAAAAAATTTATTTTTATTGTTAATGTGACCAAATATCTCATAAAAAAGGATAGTTTTCCTAACCCTTTCAAAAATTAATAAAGACTTCTCACAATAGCTATCATAAAATATGAAGATCCATTTACTAATATGTCCTAATAAAAAATACAAAAATATAACAAGGTTATTCTAATATTTTTAACCTTATAATTCAGAAAATATGTTTAATAAAATGTCAAAATTAGATATTCTATAAAAATACAATACTTACAAGTTAGCCATTATCAAATAGAGCAACAAACCTTTCCTCAAACTTTCCAAAAGTTCCTATCAAATGATCCACCGTACTGAATTGTGGCATCCACATTCTTCTTCACCGTTGAGTGTTTTCTTTTGCTTCACTTTCTTCCTCCCCACAGCATCTTCGAGCAGTCACTCAGCGACTCATTCTTTGGAAACGATTATATCCTCAGCCTCTCCACAGCTGAGTCTCTCTTCTGCCTTAAAAAAATCATTAAAGTACACTGCATTTTTCACATGATATTCCCACTGAAGAAGACAAACAGGAACACGATACACTAAAGCTGTAAATTCAGATTAAGGCTACATCTATGTTTGAGTTTTGAAATATTATATCTGACCTTTTCATCGGAGGTCGAACAACCCATAATAACACGGCACACCAGAATTAACAACCATGGATCTATTGTGAATTAAATATATATTGACACTGTTTATAGACTTCTAAATTTTTTAGCAACATACCATTTGCCCCACTTTCATCAAACTATGCTGGAGTCCAATGAGGGTGAGAGGATTTTTGTAATTTGACTCGTCACTTGGATAAAATTGGTAAATTACCAATGATTTTAATAAAATACATATAAACCTTATATTCGACTGTTAATCTGCAATTCAACCTGCCTATGAACATGAGTAGTCTGGTAAATTTTATCTAAATGATGGGTTAAATTGAAAATAACTTTAAAACACATAAAAAATAATGCATAAAAAATCTTAACCTCGTACTTTTTTGAAGTTTAAATTAACTTCTAATAAACAATTATAATATAATTAATAATTTAAATAATAACTAACTTTTAACTAACTATGTGATTTCTCTTGTTTTTTTATAACTTTTTTCAAAGCTAAAGAAAAGTTTCAAAATTCTGTATGGTCAACAATAAAAAAAACATATATAGTACAAGAAACAATTATAGAAAACAAATATTTTGTAATAATTTCTTTAAAATCTGAGTATAATATTTAATTACACAGTAAAACTAATTTAAAATACTTTCACATATAATTAAATTAAACTCACTCTGACTACCATCACTTGACCATTACTCCTTCCGTTTCTTTTTAATAGTCGTTATAGGATGTTTAACACATATTAAGTAAATAATTATTTATTTTCTGTTTTACTCTTAGTTAATACATATTTTTTGTTTGATAAGAGTAATTACTAAGTTACAAAAGTGGGGATGAAAATGGAAAACTTATCATAAATATGCATTGAAAACTGAAAAAGACAATTGTTTTGAAACAAAAAATAAGTCTACAGCTATAATTCAAAAGAAACGGATGAAGTATTATATTTTCATTAAAGGTTCTTAATTAATGCATAATGCATTTATGTGTATATATCAAATTATATAAATTTGCAAATTTGATATTTTAGATATATTTCATTTCTAAAAAAATAAACTATATTGATTAATCAAAATTAGAATGAGTCGTCTCTCATTTTTTTTTGTTTTTTATAACATTGCTTGTTGGTTTCAGTAATGCGAAGCTTTGGGCAGCAAATTTCATACAATTCAAAAACTCTCTTGGTCCACAAAACAAGATCTACATTTCTTGTGGGGGCAATGTAGCATTCAATTTTTTTTTGAACCCTCGAGAAATCTATAATTTTTTTTTCATGGTTATACTTTTAAAAAGAACGTAATAGATTGTGTCATAACACAAACTATTGCAAAAGACAAGATGGCAAAGATTAGGGCATATTCAGGTGGGAGTGCTTTATTTGAACATGGTAAAAAAAACTATTGGGATTTTAGAGAAGATGGAACTTATTTTACACATGGTAAAGCAGTACCCAAATTAGACTATAAATGGTCTACTCTTCCAAAGAAAAAGTTATAAATGAATCTAATTTTTTTAAATAGTGGCCATACAAACCTTTTGTTTCTCATATATAGTGAAACTGATTTCAGCTTTATGTTTTATCTCAGTTACATATATAATAAAATATTTATTTTCATTTAATGTGACCAAACGTCTCATAAAAGAGGATAGTTTTCCTAATCCTTTCAAAAATTAATAAAGACTTCTTACAATAACTATCATAAAATATGAATATCCATTTACGAATATGTCCTAATAAAAAATACAGAAATATAACAATGTTGTTCTAATATTTTTAGCATTATAATTCAGCAAATGTGTTTAATAAAATGTCAAAATTGGATATTCTTTAAAAATACAATACTTACAAGTTAGCCATTATCAATTAGAGCAACAAACGTTTCCTCAAACTTTCGAAAAGTTCCTATCAAATGATCCACCGAACTCAACCGTACCATCCACATCATTCTTCCATATTTAAGTGTTTTCTTTTGCTTCACTGTCTTCTTCCCCAAAGTATATTCGAGCAGTAACTCAATGACCATTTCCTTTGAAACAATCATATCCTAAGCCTCTCCACAGCTGAGTCTGGCTTCTGTCTTAAAAAAGATCGATAAAGTATACTGCGCTTGTCACATGATCTCCCACTGAAGAAGACAAAAAGGAACGCCATAAACTAAAGCTGTAAATTCAGATTAAGGCTACATCTATATTTGAGTTTTGAGATATTATGTCTGACCTTTTCATCGAAGGTCGAAGAACCTACAATAACATGGTAGACAAAAATTTACAACCAAGGATTTCTTGAGATTGAAATAGAACTTGACACTGTCTATAGACTCCTAAATTGTCTAGCAACAGACCCTTTGCCCCACTTTCATCAAACTGTGCTGGAGTCCGATGAGGGTGAGAGGTTTATTTGCAATTTAACTCGTCACTTGGACAAAATTTGCAAACTTACCAATGATTTTAATAAAATACAGATAAACCTTCTATTCGACTGTCAACCTGCAATTTAACCCGCCCAAGATTATGAGTACCCATGTAAATTTTGTCTAAATGACAGGTTAAATTGAAGATAACTTTAAAACAAATATACAATAAAGGATTAAAAAAATCTTGACTTCGAACATTTTTTTGAAGTTTAAATTAATTTCTAATAAACATTAATAATATAATTAATAATTTAAATAATAAGAAACTTTTGACTAACTATGTAATTTCTCTTCTTTTTTTGTTTTTTACTTTTTTGAAAGTTAAGAAAATATTTAAAATTCTGTATGGTCAACAATAAAAAAACATTTATAATACAAGAAACATTTATATTTTTTTGAAGTTTAAATTAACTTCTAATAAACATTAATAATATAATTAATAATTTAAATAATAAGAAACTTTTGACTAACTATGTGATTTCTCTTCTTTTTTTTTGTTTTTTACTTTTTTGAAAGTTAAAGAAAATATTTAAAATTCTTTATGGTCAACAATAAAAAATATTTATAAAGTTTTTCTATAACACTTTAAAATCTTAATAAAATATTTAATTATACTGTAAAACTAATTTAAAACACTTCCACATATAATGAAATTAAATTCACTCTGACCACCATCACTTGACCATTACTCATTCCGTTTCTTTTTAATTGTCGTTATAGAATGTTTCACACAGATTAAAAAAAATAACTAATTTTTCTGTTTTACCCTTAATTAATGTATTATTTTGTTTGATAAGAGTAATTAATAAGTTACAAAAGTGGGGATAAAAATGGAAAATTTATCATAAATTTGCATTGAAAACTTGAAAAGACAATTATTTTGAAACAAAAACAAGTCTAGAATGATAATTAAAAAGAAATAGATGGAGTGTATATTTTCATTAAAGGTTCTTAATAATGCATAATGCATTTATGTGTATATATCAAATTATATAAATCTGCACATTTGATATTTTAGATATATTTCATTTCTAAAAACATAAACTATATTGATTAATCAAAATTACAATGAGTCGTCTTTCATTTTTTTTTATTTTTATAACATTGTTTGTTGGTTTCAGTAACGCGAAGCTTCGGGCTGCAAATCGTATATACTTCAAAAACTCTCTTGGTCCACAAAACAAGATCTTTATTTCTTGTAGAGGCAATGTAGCATTCAATTTTTGTTTTTGAACCCTCAGAAATCTATAATTTTAATTTTCATGGTTATACTTTCAAAAAGTATGTAATAGATTGTGTCATAACACAAAATCCTGCAAAAGACAAGATGGCGAAGATTAGAGCCTATTCATGTAGAAGTGCTTTATTTGAACATGGGAAAAAAATATTTGGATTTCAGAGAAGATAAAATTATCAGAATTTGAATAAAAACCACTCTCTTGTTTCTCTCTCTAAAATGAGTCTTTAAAATCTCTAAGTTTTCCAAGCTTCCTAACATCTTCATAAGCCTTGGTTACTTTCTGTCATCAGAAAGACGCCGATCTGTTCCAGATCAATGCTTGAGCTTTCTGGTTAATCAATACGACTTTACTCAACACGACTTTCGGAGGGGGGTAAATTCCTAACAGTGGTTGAGCAAGTAAGAGGCCGGAAGTGCCCAGTAGAGCTCCCTTTACCTGGAAAATACCGCCCCCGTCTGTCAACACGACTCTAGTCAATACGATGCCAGAGGATCTTGCATAGAAATGGTATCACCAAAGACGGAATCACTCATAGTCCGAAGATCCTTACAAGAGCTGTCAACTCCACCGGATCTGACCAACTGAGTCAAGGAGAGAAGGTCCTTAATTGGCAAACAGAAAACGCACTCGCCCAAAATCAACTTCTAACAACAATAAATCATAAGATTGACCAACTCACTGATGGCTACAACAAAAGATTGAGTAACCTAAAAAACTCAATAATGGAGATCTACGGCCGACTCAACAATCTTCATCAAGAGATGATAACTATGGCGCAACACATGATGGTCAATGAAGATACAGTGTGATGTCTGTGAGAAAGCTCCGGCGACGGTGATATGTTGTGCCGACGAAGCAGCTCTGTGCCCTAAATGCGACGTCGAGATTCACGCCGCTAACAAACTTGCTAGCAAGCACCAACGCCTTCATCTCAATTCTCTCTCCACCAAATTCCCTCGTTGCGACAGACAGCCAGCCTCAAAAACCTGCTGAAATATCTCCAAAGATGCCTAGAAAGCATGATTCACAACCAGAATCGATCTGACTCATACTTTAATCCTCTCGGAAGTATGCCATCGGGATTTCCTACATATCAAGGATCATACTCTCCAGGGTTTCTCTCGGGTTATCAAGAACCTAAGATAAAGACATCTCTTCCAGGTTTCCTTTCATCCGACGAAGCATTCACATCTCGATATGGCATGCCATCGGCTAGTAGTTTCAAAACAAAGCCAACTCGGGCAAAACCAAGAAGACAAAAGGAGTCAGAATTCCTGGTCAATCCAACTAAGAAACCGACTCTAACCTCTTCCTCGAGCCACGAATCTATTGAAGATTCGAAGCAGAAAGAAAAAGATATTGGGATAATCGAATTCTCTATGTCCAATCTGCTCAATACTATTGGTCAAACTTCTAGAGAAGCAACGCAACCACCCCAGGTCAGCTCAACCCAACCTATCGAGATGATCAATCACTTTTCTGACACAAGTTCCAGTAGTGGCGACGAAAGTTCAGACAAAGAGTCACTCCCAAAGCAATTTGCCATCGGAGAAAGATCAACTGCCCCCAAAAGAGAACCAAACATGAATGAGGTGTTTTCAAGCGATGAAGAGATGAGTTACACACGCCCCCGAAATCAAGAACCTCCACATAAGCAGTTCACATCTAAAGTCATGGTCTTTACGTTCGATGACATTCCTTTTGAAAAATGGAATGACCGACTCGACGGATTTCATGCATGGATGACTTCGGAAGCCATTACATCACCCCTGGAGCTAGTCATTCAGCTATTCACGGCACGACTATCAGGAGCCCTCAAAGAATGGTGGAACTCACTCGGTGAGTACCGACATCAGCAAGTCTATCAAACGACTATCCCCTTGCTCCTCAGAGAGATTCACAGAGAATTCATCGGTACACCTACTCACCTAAAGGAACAACTACAAGAAGAATTCTTTTCAGCAAAATGCTGCTCACTCAAAAAGAAGGATCTGGCTAAACATTTTGAACGTCAAACACGGAGGTATTATGCGCTTATTGGTCTCAATAACCCAAGCTTGAAGCAAGTCTACTTTTCCTCCATCGACGACTACCTGAGTCAACAAACCAAGTTGTACATCAGGGACCAAAGACAGACAATCGAAGAAATATCTATTGTTCAAATCCAACAATATGTCTTCCGAACACTCGATAAGCTCTGCAAGCAAAAAGAATTCTGGATGGAATTCATGGACAAATCAAAGCAATTGTCCAAGATATGTGCCAGGCCAGACCTCTCCATCAAATGTTCCAAATCCAAGAAAAATTGTTCATGAGTCACTCGAGGCAAATCTCGAAGATTTAGAAAACCATTCCGAGAATGCTTTAACAAGTTTAGACGTAAGCGTTTCTTCAGAAAGAAATGAAGCTTCGAAAAGACGACGAGGTGCTTCCTATGCCGCAAGGAAGGACATTTCGCAAAAAATTGTCCAAATAAGTCAAAGAAGAAGAAGCAATATCTCATCAACTCGATATCCAGTATTGCCCCAGATATCGACCTCGACAATCATGACCTCGAATCCGTTCTATCATACGATAGTGACGACAATGATGCTATCTGCGGATACTCGGATTCTGAGGTTTCATCCGAATCATCGTCCGATGAAGAAAAGGAAGATTGCTGCTTTAAAATCACTGAAATTCCACGTCAGGCTGAAGATCAACCGCCACACTTGCCGGTCACGATCTTTGATCCACGAAGAAAAAAAGAACCAGTTCATGCTATCGCATTCATAGATACGGGCGCTCATTCATCTATAATGAATCCCAAAGTTCTTCCGTCCTCTATGTGGCTGCCACACCAACAAGAGTTTTTGGTCGCAAACGCTGGATCGCTATCCGTCAAGCTCAAATCCAAACCAATAACCATAGAAATCTTCCCAGGATGTCAGGTTACAACATAAGTTTTAGGGTCTTCTGCGCCAGGAAAGGACTTAATCATGGGATGGGATACATATTATGCGTTAAAGAAGAAGTTCAATATCTCACTCGAACCGCGAGGAATAAAATGGAAGTCTTTCTACAAAGCCTTCACAACCATACCTCGCATATTTTCACTTGAAGAAGCAGCATCTCCAGAGTTCGTCAAGATCAAAGAAGAAATCATGATAATCTCCTGTGCAGATTCCCATACGGATTTCCTTCAGAAGTGTAACAATCCACTATGGCTAAATTAGGAGTTCTTTGTGTCACTACCTTTCAAGGAAGATGTTTACACCACTCCGACAAAAGCAAGTCATGCAGGAATGCCACCTACCTTATTGCAACAGGCGAACGAAGAATGTGACCAACTGGCCAATCAAGGAATCATCTCAGAAACAAATTCACCATGGGCATGCAAAGCATTTTATGTTAACAACAGAGCAGAATAATCAAGAGGAAAGCTCAGGCTAGTTATCGATTACAAGCCCTTGAACCAATATCTTCAAGATATCAAGTTCCCTCTGTCAAACAAAAAGGCCCTTCTGCAGCATCTACAAGGAGCAACAATATTTTCAAAGTTCGACCTCAAATCAGGATTCTGGCAACTTGGAGTTCACCCAGAAGAAAGGTACAAGACAGCGTTTTGTCTTCCAAATTGCCATCTTCAGTGGAGTGTTTTGCCTTTTGGATTAAAGACAGCACCCTCACTATTCCAGCAGGCGATGCTAAGGATATTCAAGCCATTAATCGACACAGCTCTAATTTACATCGACGACATTCTCTTATTTTCGTCATGTACAGCAGAGCACATTCAAACTCTGAGGAAGTTTCAAAGCATTGTCAAGGAATTTGGAATTATGCTCTCGGCCCGAAAGATGATTATAGCCCATCCCAATATTGACTTCCTTGGAATGAAGATTAACAACAGAGAGATAACGCCTCAGTCCCATCTAGCTACAGCGCTTCTTGATTTTCCAGACGAAAATCTCACAAGACGACAAGTTCAGCAATTCCTTGGGGTCATCAATTATGTAAGCGATTTTATCCCGCAACTTTTGCAGTTGACAAGACCACTCCAAAAAATACTGACTAAGAATCCACCACAATGGGGAAGATGACAAACAGAAGCAGTTAAAAGGCTAAAGATAGAGATACAGAAGCTACCACTTCTAAAGATTCCCTCCTCGGGGAAGCGCATTCTACAGACTGATGCGAGTGACAAATATTTGGGAGCCATACTGTTTGAAGAGACAAATGGGAAACGTCATATCTGCGGATATAAAAGCGGACGCTTTAAAGACGCAGAGATGCATTATCACTCCACGTTCAAAGAAATCTTAGCGGTCAAGAAAACCATCGAGAAGTTCGAGTTCCATCTGATTGGACATAAATTTCGCATCGAAATGGATATGTCCTCTTTCCCGTAGATGCTACAATTCAAGCAAAAGATGGTCCCACACCAGCAGCTATTACGATGGAGAGAATGGTTTTCAAAATATGACTTCGAATCCTTCTATTTAAAGAGCAAGAAAAACACTCTTGCAGACATGCTCAGTCGAAACCCACCAAAAGAAATTCACCTCATGGCAAGCACATCCACTTTGACAAAGCGTTACTTCGACTTCGAAGCCAGCATGCCTGAAGACGCCCATCAGCTAATCCAAAGAAACTCTCTGCACGAACATCTTCAGCATAAAATTTTCCACTACTAGTTGATCATCCTCTCGAACTACGGTATCAACTGTCACTACATCGCACCAATGGGAATTCACCCGGACTATCGGTTCGCTCACCTCTACCAGATCGAAAATTCAAACATGCCTGAAGAAGTTCTATGCTTCCTATGGTATCTATGCTCGGTCTACACCATAGGCATCACGTTCGACATCGGATGGTTATATTAGTACATCAATGCTCATCAAGGTCAGAAGGAATGTTTCTCAACTTTCCTAACATGGTTTGCATCATTCAACATCTAGAACGAAAAATTAAGAAGATCAGCAAAAGCAACAAGCTTACCATTCAAGCAATTACGAGGACAAAGAAGCCTTAGTCCGTTCTTCAACCCCAACTCTATATACTTCTTTCACTGACCTGCTCAAATCAACATTAAATCCAGCAAACTTCATGCTCTACCCACACTCATCCACCACAATGACTACAAAAGAGCTATCCGCCCAGACTTCAATATACATGACAGCAAACCTTATGAAGACTTTCAAACGCACGCATTTCGCCTCAACAATGCCAGACAGACTTTCCCCATTACGTTCATCCCAAGCTGGAACTACTACTCTGCTGACTACCAGATGAGCCTCAACGAAGATTTACAATATTTCATGTCAAAATACGAAAACATGACAGAAGCTACGAAGGTCAAGAGACAGATCAGCCCGGAGATAGTAAAACAAGAAGAAACGTCCCAACAAGTGTCTCAACAATGCCCGCTAGAATATTTCCAAGACGCACAACTCCCTGACCATTCCATGAATATTGACGAAATCGGGAAAATGTTCAACATCGACGTCAACACAGAGCCCGAAGAAAACTTCGAAGAACCGGAAGAAGAATACGAGTGTCCAGATGATCACTACGGTTGTTGCGACAAACATATCATCGAGTTCGAGATGGATCACTAAATGAAGTATCTCTAAATACTTTATTATGTATAATTATGTAAGATTATAAGCATGTTTAAAATAAATAAGTTGTGATGCAAGTGATGATGTCATCGCATAAGTAATGATGTAAGCGCTTATGTCAGCGCATCAATAATGTAGGAATGAGGTAAGCGCTTATGTCAGCACGCACCATTCCTCCCCTATAAATATGTGTGCACCCCATTATAAAAAAGAGATCAGAATTTGAATAAAAACCTCTCTCTAGTTTCTCTCTCTAAAATGAGTCTCTAAAATCTCTAAGTTTTCCAGGCTTCCTAACATCTTCATAAGCCTTGGTTACTTTCTGTCATCAGAAGACGCCGATCTGTTCCAGATCGATGCTTGAGCTTTCTGGTTAATCAATACGACTTTAGTCAACACGACTTTTGGAGGGGGGTAAATTCCTAAAAGTTATAAATGAATCTAATTTTTTTTAATAATGGCCATTCAAATCTTTTGTTACACATATACAGTGAAATTGATTTCATTTTTAGGTTTTATCTTAATTATATATATAATAAAATATTTATTTTTATTGTTAATGTGACCAAATGTCTAATCAGCAAGTATAGTTCTCTTAATCCTTTCAAAAATTAATAAAGACTTCTCACAATAACTATCATAAAATATGAAGTTCAATTTAGAAATATATCCTACTAAAAAATAACAAAAATATAACAAGGTTATTATAATATTTTTAGCCTTATAATTCAGCAAATATGTTTAATAAAATATCAAAATAGGATATTCTTTAAAACTACAATACTTGCCATTATCAATTAGAGCAACAAACTTTTCCTCAAACTTTCCAAAAGTTCCTATCAAATGATCCACTGTACTCAATTGTGGCATCCACATTTTTCTTCCACCGTTGAGTGTTTTCTTTTGCTTCACTTTCTTCCTCCCGCAGTATCTTCGAACAGTCACTCAGCGACTCTTTCCTTGGAAACGATTATATCCTCAGCCTTTCCACAGCTGAGTCTCTCTTCTGCCTTAAACAGATTGTTAAAGTACACTGCATTTTTCACATGATATTCCCACTAAAGAAGACAAAGAGGAACACAATACACTAAAGCTGTAAATTCAGATTAAGGTTACATCTATGTTTGAGTTTTGAAATATTATATCTGACTTTTTTATCGGAGGTCGAACAACCCATCATAACACGGCACACCAGAACTAACAACCATGGATCTCTTGTGAATGAAATAGATATTAACACTGTCTATAGACTTTTAATTTTTTTAGCAACAGACCCTTTGCCCCATTTTCATCAAACTATGCTGGAGTCCAATGAGGGCGAGAGGTTTTTTGCAATTTGACTCGTCACTTGGATTAAATTTGTAAAACTACCAATGATTTTAATAAAATACATATAAACCTTTTATTCAATTGTTAAGCTGCAATTCAACCTGTCCATGAATATGAGTAGTCTGGTAAATTTTATCTAAATGACAGGTTAAATTAAAAATAATCTTAAAACAAATAAAAAATAATGGATAAAAAAATCTTGATCTCTTACTTTTTTGAAGTTTAAAATAACTTCTAATAAACATTAATAAAATAATTAATAATTTAAATAATAACTAACTTTTGACTAACTATGTGATTTTTCTTAGTTTTTTATAACTTTTTTCAAAGCTAAAGAAAAGTTTCAAAATTCTGTATGGTCAATAATAAAAAAAAAACACTTACAGTACAAGAAACATTTATAGAAAACAAATATTTTATAATAATTTCTTTAAAATCTGAGTATAATATTTAATTACACAGTAAAACTAATATAAAATACTTCCACATATAATTAAATCAAATTCACTCTGACTACCATCACGTGACCATTACTGCTTCCGTTTCTTTTTAATTGTCGTTATAGGATATTTCACACAGATTAAGTAAATAATTATTTTATTCTGTTTTACCTTTAATTAATACATATTTTTTGTTTGATAAGAGTAATTACTAAGTTACAAAAGTGGGGATGAAAATGGAAAACTTATCATAAATTTGCATTGAAAACTGAAAAAGAAAATTATTTTGAAACAAAAAATAAGTCTACAGCGACAATTAATAAAAAACGGATGGAGTATTATATTTTCATTAAAGTTTCTTAATTAATGCATAATGCATTTATGTGTATATATCAAATTATATAAATCTGCACATTTGATATTTTAGATATATTTCATTTCTAACAAAGTAAACTATATTGATTAATCAAAATTACAATGAGTCGTCTCTCATTTTTTCTTTATAACATTGTTTGTTGATTTCAGTAATGCGAAGCTTTGAACTGCAAATTTTATATAGTTCAAAAAATCTCTTGGTCCGCAAAACAAGATCTACATTTCTTGTGGGGGCAACGTAGCATTCAATTTTTTTTAACCCTCTAGAAATCTTTAATTTTTCTGGGAGTGCTTTATTTGAACATGGTAAAAAAAACTATTGAGATTTTAGAGAAGATGAAATTTCTTTCATACATGGTAAAGCAGTACTCAAGTTAGACTATAAATGGTCTACTCCACCAAAAAAAAAGTTATAAATGAATCTAATTTTTTTTAATAGTGGCCATACAAATCTTTTGTTTCTCATATATAGTGAAATTGATTTCAGCTTTGTGTTTTATCTCAATTACATATATAATAAAATATTTATTTTTATTATTAATGTGACCAAACGTTTCATATAAGAAAGACTTCTCACAATAACTATCATAAAATATGATATCCATTTACGAATATGTCCTAATAAAAATACAGAAATATAACAAGGTTGTTCTAATATTTTTAGCCTTATAATTCACAAATATGTTTAATAAAATGTCAAAATTAGATATTCTTTAAAAATACAATACTTACAAGTTAGCCATTATCAATTAGAGCAACAAACTTTTCCTTAAACTTTCCAAAAGTTCCTATCAAATGATCCACCGTACTCAACCGTGGCATCCACATCCTTCTTCCATATTTAAGTGTTTTCTTTTGCTTCAATGTCTTCTTCTCCAAAGTATCTTCGAGCAGTAACTCAACGACCCTTTCCTTTGAAACAATCATATCCTCAACTGAGTCTCACTTCTGTCTTAAAAAAGATAGATAAAGTATACTGCGTTTGTCACATGATCTCCCACTGAAGAAGACAAAAAGGAACGCCATACACTAAAGTTGTAAATTCAGATTAAGGTTACATCTATGTTTGAGTTTTGAAATATTATATCTGACCTTCTCATCGGAGGTCGAACAACCCATAATAACACGGCATACCAAAATTAACAACCATGGATCTCTTGTGAATGAAATAGATATTTTCACTGTCTATAGACTTCTAAATTATGTAGCAACAGACCCTTTGCCCCACTTTCATCAAACTATGCTGGAGTCCAATGAGGGTGAGAGGTTTTTTGCAATTTGACTCGTCACTTGGATAAAATTTGTAAAACTACCAATTATTTTAATAAAATACATATAAACCTTCTATTTGATTGTTAAGCTGCAATTCAACCTACTCATGAATTTGAGTAGTCTGGTAAATTTTATCTAAATGACGGGTTTAATTAAAAATAACTTTAAAACAAATAAAAAATAATGGATAAAAAAATCTTGACCTCATACTTTTTTTGAAGTTTAAAGTAACCTTTAATAAACATTAATTATATAATTAGTAATATAAATAATAACTAACTTTTGACTAACTATGTTGTTTCTCTTCTTTTTTTTTATAAATTTTTTCAAAGCTAAAGAAAAGTTTCAAAATCCTGTATGGTCAACAATAAAAAAACATTTACAGTACAAGAAACATTTATAGAAAACAAATATTTTATAATAATTTCTTTAAAATCTGAGTATAATATTTAATTACACATTAAAACTAATTTAAAATACTTTCACACATAATGAAATCAAATTCACTCTGACTACTATCACTTGACCATTACTCCTTCAGTTTCTTTTTAACTGTCGTTATAGGATGTTTCACACAGATTAAGTAAATAATTAATTTTTTCTGTTTTAGCCTTAATTAAGTAGATTTTATTTTTTGAAAAGAGTAATTACTAAGTTACAAAAGTGGGGATAAAAACGGAAAACTTATAATAAATTTGCATTGAAAACTGAAAAAACAATTATTTTGAAACAAAAAATAAGTCTACAGCGACAATTAAAAAGAAACAGATGGAGTATTATATTTTCATTAAAGTTTGTTAATTAATGCATAATGCATTTATGTGTATATATCAAATTATATAAATCTGCACATTTAATATTTTAGATACATTTCATTTCTAACAAAATAAAGTATATAGATTAATCAAAACAATGAGTCGTCTCTCATTTTTTTTGTTTTTTATAACATTGTTTGTTGGTTTCAGTAATGCAAAGCTTTGGGCTGCAAATTTCATACAGTTTAAAAACTCTCTTGGTCCGCAAAACAAGATCTACATTTCTTGTGGGGGCAACGTAGCATTCAATTTTTTTTTGAACCCTCGAGAAATCTATAATTTTTCTTTTCATGGTTATACTTTTAAAAAGAACGTAATAGATTGTGTCATAACACAAACTATTGCAAAAGACAAGATGGCAAAGATTAGAGCTTATTCAGGTGGGAGTGCTTTATTTGAACATGGTAAAAAAAACTATTGGGATTTTAGAGAAGATGGAATTTATTTTACACATGGTAAAGCAATACCCAAGTTAGACTATAAATGGTCTACTCCTCCAAAGAAAAAGTTATAAATGACTCTCTTTTTTAATAATCGCCATACAAATTTTTTGTTTCTCATATATAGTGAAATTGATTTCAGCTTTATGTTTTTATCTCGATTACATATATAATAAAATATTTATTTTTATTGTTAATGTGACCAAATGTTTCATAAAAGAGGATAGTTTTCCCAATCCTTTCAAAAGTTAATAAAGATTTCTCACAATAACTATCATAAAATATGAAGATCCATTTACTAATATGTCCTAATAAAAATTCAAAAATATAACAAGGTTATTCTAATATTTTTAACCTTATAATTCAGCAAATATGTTTGATAAAATGTCAAAATTGGATATTCTTTAAAAATACAATACTTACAAGTTAGCCATTATCAATTAGAGCAACAAACCTTTCCTCAAACTTTCCAAAAGTTCCTATCAAATGATCCACTGTACTCAATTGTGGCATCCACATTCTTCTTCACCGTTGAGCGTTTTCTTTTGCTTCACTTTCTTCCTCCCCACAGTATCTTTGAGCAGTCACTCAGCGACTCTTTCCTTGGAAACGATTATATCCTCAGCCTCTCCACAGCTGAGTCTCTCTTCTGCCTTAAAAAATCGTTAAAGTACACTGCATTTTTCACATGATATTCCCACTGAAAAAGACAAACAGGAACACGATATATTAAAGCTGTAAATTCAGATTAAGGCTACATATATGTTTGAGTTTTGAAATATTATATCTCACCTTTTCATAGGAGGTCAAACAACCCATAATAACACGGCACACAAAAATTAACAACCAAGGATCTCTTGTGAATGAAATAGATATTGACACTGTCTATAGACTCCTAAATTTTTTAGCAACAGACCATTTCCCCCAATTTCATCAAACTATGCTGGAGTCCAATGTGGGGACAACGTAGCATTCAATTTTTTTTGAGCCCAAACTATTGCAAAAGACAAGATGGCAAAGATCAGGGCCTATTCAGGTGGGAGTGCTTTATTTGAACATGGTAAAAAAAAACTATTGGGATTTTAGAGAAGATAGAATTTATTTTACACATGGTAAAACAGTACCCAAGTTAGACTATAAATGACCTTCTCCTCCAAAAAAACATTTATAAATGAATCTAATTTTTTATAATATTGGCCATATAAATCTTTTGTTACTCATGTATAGTGGAATTGATTTCATCTTTATGTTTTATCTCAATTACATATATAAAATATTAATTTTTATTGTTAATGTGACCAAACGTCTCATAAAAAAAGGATAGTTTTCCTAATCCTTTCAAAAATTAATAAAGACTTATCACAATAACTATCATAAAATTTGAAGATCCATTTACCAATATGTCCTAATACAAAATACAAAAACATAACAAGGTTATTCTAATATTTTTAGCCTTATAATTCAGCAAATATGTTTAATAAAATGTGCAAATTGGATAATCTTTAAAAATACAATACTTACAAGTAGCCATTATCAATTAGAGCAACCAACCTTTCCTCAAACTTTCCTAAAGCTCCTATCAAGTTATCCACCATACTCAATCGTGGGATCCACATCATTCTTCCATCGTTGAGTGTTTTCTTTTGCTTCACTTTCTTCCTCCCCATAGTATCTTCGAGCAGTTACTCAGCGACTCTTTCCTTGGAATCGATCATATCCTCAGTCTCTCCACAGCTGAGAGTCTCTTCTGCCGTAAAAAGATCGTTAAAGTACTCTTCATTCCTCACATGATCTTTCCACCGACGAAGACAAACAGGAACACACTACACTAAAACTGTAGATTCAGATTAAGGCTACATCTATGTTTGAGTTTTGAGATATTATATCTGACTTTTTCATCGGAGGTCGAACAACCCATAATAAAATGGCACACAAAAATTAACATTTAAAGATTCTTGTGAATGAAATCGAACTTAACACTGCCTATAAACTCCTAAATTGTATAGTAACAAACCCTTTGCCCCACATTCATCAAACTATGCTGGAGTCCGATTAGAGTGAGAGATTTTTTGCAATTTGACTCGTCACTTAAACAAAATTCTCAAAACTACCAATAATTTTAATAAAATCTAGGTAAACCCTCTATTCGACTATCAACCTGCTATTCAACCCACCCAAATTTATGAGTAGTCTTGTAAATTTTATCTAAGTGATGGGTTAAATTGAAAATAACTTTAAAACAAATATACAATAAAGGATCAAAAAAAACCTTGACCTGGTACTTTTTTTGAAGTTTAAATTAACTTCTAACAAACACTAATAATATAATTAATTATATAATTAATAAGTAACCTTTGACTAACTATGTGATTTCTCTTCTATTTTTTTTTTACTTTTTTCAAAATTATGTTTGGTCAACAATAAAAAAAAATTATAATACAAGAAGCATTTATAGAAAAAAAAAATTTTATAATAGTTTCTGCAAAATCTGAGTATGAAATATAATTACCCACAGTAAAACTAATTTAAAATACTTCCACATATAATGAAATCAAATTCACTTTTGACCACCATTACTTGACCATTACTCCCCATATAAGTTTCCTAATTAATGCATAATGCATTTATGTGTATATATCGTACTATATATATATCTGCACATTTGATATTTTAGATACATTTTATTTCTAACAAAATAATCTATATTGATTAATCAAAATAATGAGTCGCTTCTCATTTTTTTTGTTTTTTATAGTATTGCTTGTTGGTTTCAGTAATGGGAAGCTTTGGGCTGCAAATTTCATACAGTTTAAAAACTCTCTTGGTCCGCAAAACAAGATCTATATTTTTTGTGGAGGCAACGTAGCATTTATTTTTTTTTTGAACCCTGGAGAAACCTATAATTTTTCTTTTCATGGTTATATTTTTAAAAAGAATGTAATAGATTGTGCCATAACACAAAATCTTGCAAAAGACAAGATGGCAACGATTAGGGCCTATTCAGGTGGGAGTGCTTTATTTGAACATGGTAAAAGAAACTATTGGAATTTTAGAGAAGATGGAATTTATTTTACACATGGTAAAGCAGTCCCCAAGTTAGACTATAAATGGTCTGCTCCACCAAAATATTTTTTTAAATGATTCTAAATTTTTTTTAATAATGGCCATACAAATCTTTTGTTACTCAAATATAGTGGAATTGATTTCACCTTTATGTTTTATCTGAATTACATATATAATAAAATGTTTATTTTTATTTTGAATATGACCAAAGGTCTCATCAAAGAGGATAGTTTTCCCAATTCTTTCAAAAATTAATAAAAACTTCTCACAATAACTACCATAAAATATGAAGATCAATAAATAAATATGTCCTATAAAAAAACTACAAAATATAACAAGGTTGTTAATATTTTAAGCCTTTAATTCTGCAAATATGTTTACTAAAAATATCAAAATTGGATATTCTTTTAAAATATAATATTTACAAGTTAGCCATTATCAAGTAGAGAAATCAATATTTCTTCAAACTTTCCAAAAGTTTCTATCAAATGATCCATCGTACTCAACTGGCATCCACATCCTTCTTCCACCTCTGAGTGTTTTCTTTTGCTTCACTATCTTCTTTCCCACAGTATCTTCGAGCAGTCACTCAGCGACTCTTTCCTTGGAAACAATCATATCCTCAGCCTCTCCACTACTGAGTCTCGCTTCTGTCTTAAAAAGATCGATAAAGTACACTGCATTTGTCACATGATTTTCTCACTGAAGAAGACAAATAGGAACGCCATAAACTAAAGCTGCAAATTCAGATTAAGACTACATCTATGTTTGAGTTTTGAGATATTATATCTGATTTTTTTATCGGAGGTCGAACAACCCATAATAACACGACACACAAAAATTAGCAACCAAAGATTTCTTGTGAATGAAATAGAATTTGACACTGTCTATAGATTCCTAATTATTTTAGCAACATATCCTTTGCCCCCACTCTCATCAAACTGTTGTGGAGTCTGATGAGGATGAGAGGATTTTCTCAATTTGACTCTTCACTTGGACAAAATTTGCAAAACTACCAATGATTTTAATAAAATACAGATAAACCTTCTATTTGACTGTCTACCTACAATTCAACCCGCCCCAAGAGTATGAGTAGTTCTGTAAATTTTATCTAAGTGAAGGGTTAAATTGAAGATAACTTTAAAGTAAATATACAATAATGGATCAAAAAAGTTTTGACATCAGACTTTTTTTTGAAGTTTAAATTAAGTTCTAATAAATATTAATAATATAATTAACAATATAACTAATAAGTAACTTTTGACTAATTATGTGATTTTCCTTCTTTTTTTTTTTTTTTTTTACTTTTTTCAATGATAAAAAAATGTTTCAATTTTTTTGGTCAACAATAAAAAAAATATTATTTATAATACAAGAATCATTTAAAGGAAAAAAGATTTTATACTAATTTCTTTAAAATCTGAGTATAAAATTTAATTACACAGTAAAACTAATTTAAAATACTTCCACATATAATGAAATCAAATTCACTCCCACTACCATCATTTCACCATTATTATATTTCTATTAAAGATTCTTAATTAATGCATAATGCATCTATGTGTATATATCGTATTATATAAATCTGCACATGTGATATTTTAAATACATTTCACTTCTAACAAAATAATAAACTATATTGATTAACTAAAACAATGAGTCGTCCCTCGTTAATTTTTTCTTTATTGCATTGTTCGTTGGTTTCAGTAATGCGAAGTTTTGGGCTGCAAATCTTATACGGTTCAAAAAACTCTCTTCTTTTGAAAACAAGATCTTCATTTCTTGTGGAGGCACCATAGCATTCAATTTTTTTTAACCTTGGAGAAACCTATAAATTTTTTTTTTCATGGTTATACTTTTAAAAAGAACATAATAGATTGTGTCATAACAAAAATCTTGCAAAAGATAATATGGCAAAGATTATGGCCTATTCAGGTGGGAGTGCTTTATTTGAACATGGTAAAAAAACTATTGGGATTTTAGAAAAAATGGAATTTATTTTACACATGGTAAAGCAGTACCCAAGTTAGACTATAAATGGTCTACTCCACCAAAGAAAAAGTTATAGATGAATCTAAATTGTTTTTAATAGTGGCCATACAAATATTTTGTTACTCATATATAGCAGAATTGATTTTATCTTTATGTTTTATCTGAAACTAGATTAGGACCCGTGTATATACATAATTGTAAATTTTTTTAAAACTTATAAATTATAAATTATAAACAAAAATAAATAGCTTTAATTATATTTATTTCTGTATTTATATTCGATTGTTTGTTAGTTGAAATGCTTATTACACATGGTAAATTTTAATTAATTGACTGACATACATTTTAATCATTTTAACTTAGAATGTGATCTCTATATATACTGATTTGTATTAACTATTACATAACTCATTAAAGAGAAACTGAATTTTTTAAAAGTAAAAAAAAACAAAATTAGATCATTGTGAACATTAAAAATTAAAATTGAGAATATTTTCGTCAAACAACTTATAATAGAACTGACTGAAGAAACTGACTTTCTCCTTCGTTCCATATTTACTTTTATATTTTTCACAAATGTGACTAACATGAAAAGTAAAAAAAAAAACAAAATTAGAACATTTTGAATATTAAAAAATTAAGATTGAGAATATTTTCGCAAAACTACTTATAATCAACTGTTTAGAGAAATTGGCTTTCTCTTTCATTCCATCTTTACTTTTATATTTTTTACAAATATGAATAAACATGAAAAAGTATAAAACAAAACTAGATCACTGTGACATAAAAAAATAAGATTGAGAATATTTTCGCAAAATCACTTATAGTAAAACTGATTAAAGAAACTGACTTTCTCTTTCATTCCGTATTTACTTTTATAATATTTTTCATAAATATGATTTTTCTCAGACAAACTCTCATCGAGAATCTCATTTGGTAAAATGGTATCAGAGCAAAATTGGCATTCTCCTTCATTTTACTTCCATAATTCTGATTTTTTTTCATCGCTTCATTAATTTTTCATCTTTTCCAATTGTTTCGAATTTAAGAGAAGAATCAGCCTAGAAAAATTATAAAGGTTTTTATGTATTTATAAAGATGTGATTAATAATTTTCTCTTTCTTTTAGGATTAGTCTTTACTCTTTTTTTAAACTGTTTTTTCTTTTTTTTTTAGTTGAAATATATTTTTTTTTAATATATTCCTTATTTAGATATTGTTGTAGTTATATTTTCTTTTTTTTTTGTTTTTTTAATAATTATGATATTTCTTAAATTATGTTTTATTTTCAATTTAATAGTGATACGTGTCAAATTTTAAATCGAAAAACTTGACATGTGTCACAATCATGTGAATTACTAACATGTAAATTGTGCTACATATTTCAAAAGAAAATTTACTTTCTCCTTTATTTTGCTTTCTCAATTCTGATTTTTTTTCATTGATTCATTAGTTTTTCATCTTATTCTTTTGATTCTAGTCTAAGAGAAAAACCAGCCTAGTAAAACTATAAGAGATTTTATATATGTATAAAGATGTAAATAATATTTTCATTTTTTTAGGATTAGTATTTATTTTGTTTTAGAAAAAAATCATTTTCATATTTAAAATATATTATTGTTATTTTTAGTTTATTTATTTTTCTTTTAGATTTTATGGTGGTTATATATTTTTGTAACAATAGTTATATTTCCAAAATTTATATTTATTTTTAAATTAACCGCGACACGTGTTAAAATCTGAATCGAATTACTAACATATAAAATTTTCTACATATTTCAAAAGAAAATTGACTCTCTCTTTTATTTTGCTTTCTAAATTGTAATTGTTTTTCATTGATTCATCATTTTCTCATCTTATTCATTTGATTCAAGTCTAAAAGAAAAATAAGCCTAGTAAAACTATAAGAGATTTTATATGTTTAAATTAATCGCAACACATATCAAAATCTAAATCGAATGATTTGTCACATGCCACAATCATATGAATTACTAACATTGATGCATCTAAATATTCATAACACAGAGTCTGTTGCGAATCTGTAGCAATATTAACCCTACTTCTCTTGTAGTTCAACACTTTATCAACTATTTTTTTTCTATTTTGCCGCATTAAAAAATTGGGTATGCAATTCAAATCCTTTGATTTTTTTGTTTGGTGAAAAAATATGAGAAATTTTATGTATTTTTTATATAGATGTGGATTGTATTTTTTTTTCGTTTAAGATTAGTGGTTTAGCTTTTTTTCATTTTTCAAATTGAAATTTCTCCTTTTATTAACTTTTATATTTTTTCAAATTATATATTTTTTCTTCTTTTAAGATTAATGTTTTAAGTTATTTTTCTTTTCTAAATATATATATATATATATATTATTTTATTTATTTTTGTTTTCTTTTTAATTTAATTATGTCTCGTGTTGAAATCTGGATCGAATGATTCGTCATGTGTCATTATCATACGAATTACTGATTTTGACGCATCCTACTTTATATAATAAGATTTTTATATAATAAAAAAATTATTTTTATTTTTAATATGACCAAACATCTCATCAAAATGATAGTTTTTCCAATCCTTTTTTATATTAATAAAGACTTTCCACAATAACTATCATAAAATATGGAGATCAATTTACAAATACATCCTAATAAAAAAATACTAAAATATAAAAAGATTATTTTAATATTTTAAACCTATAATTCAGCAAATATGTTTAATAAAAACGTCAAAATTGGATATTCCTTATATAATACTCACAAGTTAGCCATTATCAATTAGAGCAACTGACTTTTCCTCAAACTTTCCAAAAACTCCTATGAAATGATCCACCCTACTCAACTGGGCATCCACATCCTTCTTCCATCTTTGAGTGTTTTCATTTGCTTCACTGTCTTGTTCCCCACAATATCTTCGAGCAGTCACTCAACAACCCCTTCCTTTGAAACAATCATATCCTCAGCCTTTCCACAGCTGAATCTCACTTCTGTTTTAAAAAGATCGATAAAGTATACTGCATTTGTCACATGATCTTCCTACTGGAAAAGACAAACAGGAACACCATAAACAAAAGTTGTAATTTCAGATTAAGGCTACATCTGTTTTTGAGTTTTGAGATATTACATCTGATCCTTTCATCAGATGTCAAACAACCTATCATAACACAGGATACAAAAATTAACAACCAAAGATTTTTTGTGAATGAAATAG